GCCAGCTGTTTGAAGGCTAAATGATAAATATATACACAATGGTATTTACTTTTTCCCTATAGACTTTCCATCTGAGATTTCCTCTCCTAAGATAAAGCAATGCCAGTCTGTCTCTTCCAGTAATGATCAGCCAAACAGATGCACTGATGTGAAAAACCTAGCCCAGTAAATCACAAAAACAAAAAGATCAGTGGTGGATGGGGACTACAAGGGAAGTGGGGAGAGGTTATGTATGGGTTCAAAACTGTGGAAATATTCTGCAAGTGCACAGAGGTGGAAATTGTACAAACTGAGAATGTGCTTTATCCCACTGAACTGAGCATGCAAAGAACACATGAAAGCTTAACTTATTAAAATTATCCTAGGACACTGTTTCACCTAATTATGGGCATGAAGGTGAAAGTGGAAGTGGAAAGAAATGCAAGAGTAAATGAGGGGAAGGGCAGCTGCCTGACAGCCCCGGCCCAAGTAGAGTCCAGGAGCTGATACCTGCTGAGGAGCCAGCAATAGCCTCAGCTATGGAGTTTCCTTAAGGGCAGCTCTAGTGCTCAGATCTGATTTTCATCATTCATGTGCCCATGCATGAGTGGTTAGTTTCTGATGAAAAGTACATATTTGATGCCTATGTGCTAAAAAGACAGACAAAAATAAGCTTATCTTTAACAAGGAGAAAATCTGACCGAAAAGTCCACTGCAGGGGGAATGTCTCTCAAAACGCACATACTGAAATTTAATCCCCATTGTGGTGTTATTATGAGGTGAGGCCTTTTTAGAAGTGATTAAGTCATGAAGGTTCTGTCCTCCTGAATGAATTAGAGCTTTACAAAAGGGAGGGATGGAACTAACTCAGTCCTCTTTTTCGATCTGTTTTTCTTCCCCATGAAGACACAGCAATAAGGCACCACCTTGGAAATGTAAAGCAGTTCTCATAAGACAGCAATGGTGGTGTCTTGATCTTGATATCAAGATATCAGAAATCGTCTTATTTACTTTCCCATCACTGGACACAACACCTGGCACAACTTACAGAAGGACAGATTTATTTTGGCTCACAATTTTAGTCCCTGATCAATGTGCTTCAAGGCAAAAGCAGGGTGGCACGGGCGTGGCGGAGAAGATGCTCAACCCATCACAGCCAGGAATTAGAGAAAGCAGGGAAAAGTCAGGGAGACACATCCTCAGTGACCCACCTGCAACCAAGCCAAACTTCCAAACAACACATTTAGCCACTGAGCTCATTAGTGGATGAATCCTCCATGATCCAAATCACCTTCTAAACACAGGAGACTTCGGGGGTTCATTTTAGATGTAAACTGTGATAAAAATAAATATCTATCCTTTATAAATTGTCTAGTTTCAGGTATTTTGTTACAGCAGTGCAAATGACTAAGCCAAAGCCCAGAAAAAAACTGATGTACTTACAAATATAATCAATCAGTCACTGACAAGTTATACTTTGGGACTGAAGATGAAGTGATTAATTTTTTCAACAGCAAACAATGGAAAACAAAAAATTTGTCATCAAAAGACCCCTGTATAGCAATAATCTGACACTCCAATAGTGTATCTAATCAAGCAATGGTCCTTTTTGATAAGGTCTATAATTTCCTATTTCCCATATACTTTAATTAATGAATGTTTAAATATGAAATTATAAACATAAATTTCTCACCAAACATTACACAACATTGCTATACATACTTCAGGCTTTCTTTCAATCAACAGAGCAGAACTGAATCAGCTGAAATATCCTGCATCTTCTTTAATGCTATTGTTCTCTCTTCCTCTGCAGTTATCCCTATTTAGAATTTGATATTTATCACTGCCATGCATGTTTCAGAACTCTACACAGTAACATCTGTTATGTTTCAGATCTAAAACGTCCCCCAAAAGCTCATGTTTTCAGAAATGTGATTTTGGGAAGTCAGACTCATGAGGGCAATAACTAACTCATCAACAGGTGACTTCTTTACCTCAGGCCCAGGTCAACTGTACTAGCTGACCATGGACTGAAATCATAAGCCAAAATAAATTTTTACTGCCTTCGTTTTTCAGATATTTTGTCACACCAATAGAAACCTAATACACTACCTATAAGAAATATGTAATATTTAAAATTTTACATAATAGTATCAACTGCACTTATCTAGGAGCTTGAATTTTCTCTCACAGTTTTAAAGATTTACCAATACACAATACCTTTCATTCTAGATAACTTGTTTTTACAGACGTATAGAAGGAATTAGCAAAACTTGTTTTTTCTTTTTTTTTTTTTTGAGGCAGGGTCTCACTATGGAGTCCAGGTTTGTTTTGAATTCACTATGTTGGCCAGGCTGGCCTGGAACTCACAGAGATCCTTTTGCCTCAGCCTCTCGAGCACTGGAATTACAGGCATGTGCCACCATGCACAGCTAGCAAAATTTTTCTGAAAAGGACCAAATAGCAATAGTTTAGGTTTTGCAGCCATACATATCTGCCATGATTCAGTCCTGCTCCTGTAGTATAGCCACCCACACTTAAGTAATAAATGTGGCTGTGTTCCAATAAAACTTTATTTGTAAACACTGAAATTAAAATTTCATGTAATTTTCATATCACAAAATATTTTTTAAAAGATTCAACCATTGGGCTGGGGATTTAGCTCAGTGGCAAAGCTCCTGCCTGGCAAGCGCAAGGTCGTGAGTTTGGTTCCCAGTACCGGAGAAAAACCAAAAAAAAAAAAGATTCAACCATTTTAAAATATAAACACCATTTTTAGCCTATAAGCCATGCAAAACAGACAGTGGATCAATTTGGCTCAAAAGCAGGATTGCTGATCCTTATTAAATAATATTGTTATCATAGCTGATTAATCTATTTCCATATTATTGGACATTATGTTGAAATTTTCTTTGTAATCTTACATGATCAATATATTTTGGCACATGATTTTGGAGGGAACTTACAAAAATGTTTATTCTGTCTTAGAATAAGGAATATTATATATATATGCATATATATTAGAACTTACTAAATTTATTCTTCACATCTTTTCCATTCTTCCTAATGTTGACCTGATCAACTCATTTCTGATGAAGGTGTGCTAAAATTCTCTCTATAATAAGAATTTCTTATAATTCTGAGCTTTTTCCATTATATATTTCAAAGTAATATAGACACACATACAAGTTGACATTGTCATATCTTCATAATGGATTGTTGCTTTTACTATGACAGTGTTCAAAATTAGCCCTTTTGACACTTTTTGCTTTTAGTTCAGATTATTAATTTTCTGTTAAATTTTATTACTTCCAGTGATCTATATTTCAAAACCTTTCTTTTAAAGTTTTGTGTGATATAGTTTTGGATGTGTCTCTTGTAAATATAATGACTATATTTTAATCACTTTTATAGGCAAATTTAAACCAGCTCTAATGCAATAGTTAAAAGAACATGCCAGACCATCTGCACCCTAATTTTGGTTTCTCTACTCATCTGTGTATGACCCTGGGACATTTCTTTAATCTTTCCATGCTTCAGTATGCTCATCTGTAAAACCACTTTGGATGTTAGTACTACATTATAGGTTATTGTGGAGATTAAAAAGGATAAAATTGTTAGAACAGCACCTAATCTGTAGGAAGCATTCGGTAGTTGCTATTTAGAAATTTTCATGGTAGTTACTTTGACAGTCTCATTTCCATCATTGTTTTGTTTTTTCTCTTTACCATACCCCTCCATGTTTACTACCTTGTTCCTGTCAATAACCCCTTTGTTTTCCTCTATTTTGCATGTGCTTTACATTGCATTTCTATTCTAATTGATTATTCTTAAAATTTTTATGGTTTTATTTGGTAAGTATATATATTTATGTATGATGTAAACACATATATATATAGTCATCAAATTAATAGAATGAACATTTCCATTACCCCTGTTTTCTCAGATTATTCCTCTATGTGGCATCCATTAATTACAAGGCCAAATATGACCAAGTAATTTACATGTCTCTGTGATCCAGAGCCTATATACAGAATCACTTCCTTATCTCTCACATACTAAGCCCATTTCCCTGCTCTAAATCAACACGTGACTAAGCTGTAAACATGCAGGGACACTCTACACTCCAAAGCCCACTGGATTTATTTAGACCAGCCAATCCTGTCTACCTGCCCTACTCACAGAAGCCCTAATAAAAGCTGTGGTCTAGACTTCCCCTTCCTCCTGCTTCCCATCCATGTCAGATATTTCTTTATATGACCACACACAGCAGCAGGTCACCAGAGACGCTCCCTTGCCCAGACAAATTAGTAACAAATTCCTTGATGGCACAGAAGTGGCTTCGGTGTCTCCTTCTTGTCACTTGGTTACTTCCATAACTTTAAACCCTGAGAGGATAAGTTGATATAACTCACATTCCCCATGCTACTTTGTGATCTCTCTTCTCTTCTTCCCTATTTTTTAGGCACTGGTGTGTTTTCTGTCAGTATAGATTAATACTTTGTAGAATTTTATTCAGGCAGAATTGAATTCATGTTCTTAGTTATTTCACTTAGAAATTTATTTTATTTATTCCATTCATATATATCCATTATTGTTTCCTTTTATTTTATTAAGGAGTATTGCCTTTATAAAGTTTGGTGATTCAATCACCCAGTGATAGCCATTTGGGTCATTTCCAGTTTACAGTTTTTATAAAAGTTGCTATGGTCACTCATATACAAGTTCTCATGTAGATATATGCTTTCATTTTTCTGGTGTAAACTAACAGATAAATGACTATGTTACATGGCAGAGACATGGTTGACAATTTTCTTAAGTAGTTTGTCCCACTTGATGTTTTCACCATCAGCACATGAGAGCTCCAGTTCTGTAGCCTCATCAACATTTTGTATGGCAATGTTTTTAATGTTGGTCATTTTAGTAGCTATGTAGCCATGCAATATTATTTTGCTGTAGCTTTTGAAATAAAAATGTTGTACAGATAATAAATTGAAATTTAATTAAGTTTAAAGAAGCTTTTAAAATATTGTGTTTATCATTTTTTGCTCCTATATATTTCCTCATGGCTTTTCTTTTTGCTTAAACATATCAGTATCTTCTTAAGGAGTTTTTTGGGATGTAAATGATCTTAGTCTTTATGTGTTTCATATTTTGTTCTGTTTTAAATGATACTAAGCACCCTAAAGACTTTAACCTCTTGTTTTTATTGTTACTGATGAGAAGCCAGCCGTCAGTCTACTGTCATTCTTTTGTGTTTTTTAAATTTCTGGTAGCTTTTAAGAATACTTTTTCATTTTTCACATTTCAGTTTTATTTGGATGCATCTAGATGTGAATCTACTTTTATTTGCCTGCTCAGAACCACCATTTGTGAAAATTTTTCTTTTGTTTTCAGTTACCTTTCTTCAATGACTGCTTCTCCTTCTATTATCTTTTTTCTTTTGGATCTCCTAGTAGGTAAATTGTGGAGCTGCTTAATCTGACTTTTATTTCCCTTACCTGCTTTTTAATAATATATTTGTCTTTTTCTAAAATTGTAGATTGGGTAAATTTCCCGGCATTATGTTTGAACTCACTAATTAGGTATTTAATCATGCCCAGTTGAGTGTTTATTTAAGAAGAAAAATGTATATGCCCAACCCATCCTAGTCCAGTGTCCTTCATACAGAAATTATAAATATTTGATTAAAACGGAAATAGTTTATATATTTGACTTCACTATTTATAGATATATAATTTTATCGAGACAAATATCAATTTTTTAATAAGAGAACAGTTGTCAACCAACAGTCAAACCTGCAATCAAAGAAGTTACTATGCAAATTTGAAACTAATATTCTATCAAAACCCACAAGTTTAAAACTCTTGCAAAAACAGAATTGTTTTTGTTGGGATTTGGCTTTGCAGGTATCTATACTTGTTCTTCTTTGGAAAATTTCTTTGGATCTTCTGGCAGAACCCTTAAGAGTTATGGACTTTCCAACTAGGCCTAAATTTTGGATTGTTCTTATATTTGATAAATTTAATTACTCTGAATATCACTTCATGGCATTGGAATTATAGCCTAATACGAAGATAAAAATATCTCTTTTGCTTCCAACACTCTGCTAGTGCTCAGCATTTTGTGCTGTATAAGGCAGTACATAGAAAGGTGGAGGCAGATTGCTTTGCAAGGAAGCTATGTCTTTTTTTTAAATAAGAAGGTACATTAAAAAGTTTCCCCCTGTATGCCTACCAGATGAAACTTGAGATCCTCTTAATTTCTTTTAGCCAGAACCTGACAAGTATTTATTAGCTTAGGATTCACAAAGTACATAAGGAAAGATGCTAGAATCCTTTAAACATGTAAGGATGTTGGGTCACTTGACACAACCAGTTAAACCAGTAAGACCCTATAAAATGTTGTAGCTAGTGCAGCGTAATGATCAGACAAGACCGCCAATTTGTGTCAAGAGCTTCCCAGGATGAGCTTAAATCTCAATAATATTGTATCTTCTCTACAGAGAAGTGGGACATTTATCAATTCTTTGATTGCAGGTTTGACTATTGGTGGACAACAACTGTTCTCCTCTTATACATTTAGATGTCCCTGTCAGGTTGGGAGAAATTTTTATTATGGTTCAGCTTTTCTTGTTGTTCCTGCCTTGATCCTTCTCGTTGCTGGCTATTCTCTGAGAGGACAAATGTGGAAATTTGCCAGTGACTACTGCTGCAGCTGTAGCCTTCCACGACGGAGAATCAGCCCCCTAGAGCGCAGACTGGCTTGCCTTAGGTTCTTCAGCATCACCGGGAGGGCCCTTGTTGCTCCGCTGACCTGGCTGGCAGTGACCCTGCTGAAAGGCACCTACTATGAATGTGCAGCAAGTGAGTTTGCATCTGTGGACCATTACCCAGTGTTTGGTAATATCACTGCCAGCAAACGAGAAGAGCTGCTAGCTGGATTCCCATGTGACAGGTCATCAGCTTCTTCTGATATGACCCTAGTGAGAGATGAAGTAGTTCTTCTGCACAGGTACCAGTCACAAGTAAGTTAATTTTTTTCCTGTCATACTAGTATAGTTACTACAATCACTGCAAACATTTTATATTTCTGCTGCTTCTCATAATGCCTGATCACAGAACACAAACTAGATGTCATTCACCAAAATGAGTCCTATTGAGCAGTTATATGTAGTTAGGATACTGGGCTTTGGAGTCATCTAACCTGGGTTTCAGACTTGCTTTGCCATTTATTAACCTGAAGAACTTGATTGTGTTATATAACAGCCATCTTTGCTTCCTCAGCTGTGAAATGAGAACACCAACAGTATTTATTGCATAGGTTTGTATGAGAAATAAATGAGCTAACATATTTAAAATTCTCAGTACTGTAACTAGAATCTACCGCGTAATAATGAATTTTACATAGTGTTATGAATATTAGTATTATGTTCCCAACCCCAGCTTTCTGTATATATATCCTAACATATACACTCTTACATGTTAAAATCTCATCTGAAATGTAAGGAAGCTTGACTATGATTTAAAAGTCTCCAATAATGTTTCTAAGTTTAGTGTTCATGGCAGGCTTGTGTCAGAGTAAATGTACTGGAATGAAAGCCTGAACCAACTACATTTAGAGTTTAAATTTTAGAAGTGCAATTCTTACATTTTGTCAGAAAAAAAAAGGTCATTGATTTTTATCAGTTTCTCCAAGAGATTTGGAGAAAAACATATTTTGAAACCACTGCAATACACTAGGAGCCTATTTTTTAAACTACTTATTGCAAATGCACAAATGTTTTGCGACCTGTAGCCTTTCACTTATTAAAGTTTAGAAATGCTAATGTTACTTAATTGAAAAAAATCACAATCAAGACAGAGAACCTCAGTGTTGCAATCTGACCCTAAAGCTCAAGCAGAGGAGCTATATAAAGATCTATGAAAAGTATAAAAAATGGCACAACTATAACTTTCAAAAATGTTCTTGCTTAAGAAAACGTAACACAACAGTAAGATTTTCTTAAAGTAAAAATATTATGTCATTAAATGCATACACAGATTTCTGTGAAAAGTCAGTTTTATAGTTCTGAATACCACTACCAGTGGAATTTTTGGTTTTGTGATAACAAAAGCCATGTATTTTTAGATATTTATCATATATAGAATTGCATAAATATTTCATACCTTAACTCTAATTTTTAAAATTGAGAAAAAGATTAACCCCATTTTATAGATGAGTAAACCAAACCTCAAAAAAATCTATGTGACTTGCAAAAATTCACAATGCTGATCAGGATACCCAAACTGTTGATCATCATACCCAAAGGTCACCTTGTTTGCACTTCACCAGGCTGCCCTCTGCAACAGAGCTTTAATACCATTTGAAATATAAATACTGCTTTTCAGTTGAATTTTTCTTGGTTGATAACAAGCTCCAGATATTAGTTTCACTCAGTCCACATTACCTTCTTTGGATGTGTGCTAGGCTGGTAAAAAATCATTTTAAATGCAAATTAGACCATGAGCTCTCTTTTCCTCTCATAAATTTTTTCAATGATTTTCTAGCAGCCTAGTACACATCCAAACTCCTTGGCATGACATACAAAATCTGGTCCTTGACCCCTTTTCCTGACTCCTATAAACCTAACAATATGAAGTTCTTTCAGTTCTCAAAACTCTCCATGCTCTTATTTTCTTGCAGCGGGGTACTGAGAATCGAACTCAGGACCTTATGCTGGCTAGGCAGGAACTGTGCTGCTGAGCTATTATATCCTCCGCCCTATGCTCTTATTTCTCTACCTTCTCCCTTACTGGAACTCTCCTTAACTTCTTCAATCTGGTGAACTTCTTTCTTAATAATTGCATTTTAGTAAGCACCATCTGTGAGAAGTGTTCCCTGATTCTTATCTCCCTTCCATGAATCCATTTCTCTTCCATTGTGTTTCCTCAGTGCTGTTTACTCAGATCAGAAACTATTGTACTCTATTCCCTTTCTTGGCTTCATTTCCCTTTCCAGGATTAAAGAACATATAGAGAATAAATCCCCATTTTCCTTCCATTACCAAGCAATATATGCTACATATAGTAGTTGTCAACCTAGGGTTCAATATGTGATAACTAATGAATTAATGGACATCTGAAATGGTTTTCCTCTTCTGTGCTGGCCTCTGTTACGCCACACTGTTACACATATCACTCTGTAGTTCTCAGAGTGCAGCTGTCACTCAGCACACTCCAGTGATGCCAGGCTGAGGTGCGCAGCCGCCCCTGCCACACTGTGGCTGCAGACTGTTGGCTTCTTGGATTGTGTGACTTGTCTCCTTTATTTTATATAATCATTTCTAAATGTTAGAAAAGAGTAACAGAAGGCAAAAAAGGATTCTAAGACTAGAAGTTTATGTCAGTCTTTAAAGGCAGGCACTAAACAGTCTCAAACAAAAACTAGTTTATTTTGGAAGTAAAACAGTTACAGTAATTATACTATCAATGATACACTTAGAGATGCAAGTCTGTTCACCAACTTCCGGGGTTGCAAAAGGTAGAGGAAAGAGCAATGCAGGAAGAAGTATCAATGCATGCTTGTTGGTGCATTACTGAAGACATCTTTGGAGGCTGCCATTATATTCTATCGCACCATCATTTTATTACCATTATTTACCAAATATTTATTAAGCTCCCAAAGAATGTATGGACCTGTAACTTAAGGTTGAAAAGGCTGAGCTATGAGCAAATAATAATGTTTACGTATCTTATGTAAGGTTATTTAGTGGGTTATAGCATCTGTCTCTTCAAAAGCAGTACTTAGAATCTGTTCCACATTAACTGCTCAAGTTCCTTTGTAATTAAAAAAAAATCAAGTTGACCTATCCTTTCATCAGATCTATTTCCACAACAAATGATCAGCATTTTTTAATGTATTAAAGACTGAAAAAACAAATTTTCTATTTATTTTATCCTCATGCCACCACTGTATTCTCTATTTTGAGACAAGGTCTTACTAAGTTGCTAAACTGACGAGGCCAGGCTTGCACTTGTGATCCTTCTGCCTCAGCCTTCCAGAGCACCATGCTTTTTCTCACACTTTAGTTCTCAATTTTTAGGAAGCCCTTGAATATCTGATGCACTGATTATTTCTATTTTTCTTTCTAATAATTATGTAAAGATGCTAGGCTGGATTCTAATCACCTTGGCAACCACTGCTGTCCTGGTCTCCTGCTGTCTGGTGAGCTGCTGTTCCCCCTTCTCCTCTCTGCAACATCACTACTGGACTCGCCACCTAGAAAATGAGAGAGCGCTCTTTGAGCAAGCGGCAGAAGAGCACTCCCGGCTCCTCATCAGGCAGCGCATAAAGAAGTTATTTGGCTTCGCTCCTGGGAGTGAAGATATCACACAGATCCATATCCCTTCGTGTCAGGACTGGAGAGAAGTTTCAGTGCCCAGTCTCTGGTGCCTGGATGATAACACACACGGTCTCTATAGCACCCTGGGAGACAGGGTAGGTGAAGATAATGAGGAAGAAAAATTAGGAGGTATTGAATTAAAACCTTGATAATATCACCTTTCACAGTTCAAGTTCCTTAACAGGTACTTGGTTTTATGATGGAGTTTTAAGGCAATTTCTAGATTTTTCTTCTATTTTTGATATTTGTTTAAAGAAGCCCATCTGAATCATTAATGCCAGAGCTGATTTATCAGACAGTTATGCCAATATATCTTTTTGAAATTTTATTGATGTTGTGGCAATGCCCATAGTGTCATATCGATCTAATAAAAAAGAAAAAACCTTTGCTAGCTACTCCTAGGACTTGTGATTTTTTTAGTTCTTTATATATTCTAGATATTAGTCTTCTAATGTCTAATATATACTAATATCTAGAATGTATGAAGAACTCAAAAAATTGAACTACTCAAAATAAAAGATCCAATCAAAAGATAAGGAATCAAAATGGACAGACAATTCTCACAAGAAGACATACAAATGACCAATAAGCACATGAAAAATATTCAGCATCCCTGGCCATTAGAGAAATGCAAATCAAAACAACACTGAAATTCCACGTTATATGACTGGCTACCATCAAGAACTCAAAAAACAACAAATTCTGGTAGGGTTGTAGGGAAAAGAAAACCTGTCTTAGCTACTTTTCTCATTGCGGAGACAAAATACCCAGTACACAAAGTTAAAGGAGGGAAGATTTATATAGCTCAGTTTGTAAAGGTTTCAGTTCATAGGTGGTTGGGTATGGCTCCCAGGCAGGGTAACACATGGCAGAGGGGCAACAGTTCATAGCAGACAGAAGGTTGCAAAGCAACATGGGAGACAAACCTCCTTCTGTCCCTTATATTGTATCCAGCCGACTGGGATTAGCGTGATGCCAAAACAATCAGTGGACTCATTTACTAATCACACAGCCTTAATCCCAGCATCACATACTTTAGATCCAGCCACCTCTGAAAAAGCCCCACCTATGATTGAATGAGGTTTTGTGGGGACATCTAAACACAAGCCATAATAAAACCCTTCTACGCTGTTGGTGGGAATGTATACTAGTACACAGCCACTATACAATCTGTATGAAGATTCCTCAAAAAACTAAAAGTAGAAATTTCATTTGATCCAGCTATATCTCTTATGTGGTATCTTCCTAAAAGAGTTAATGGTATCATATAACAATGAAACATGAATTTTTAAAAGGGAATAAAAAATAAAAAGAAACAAAAACGGGGCTGGGGATTTAGCTCAGCGGCAAAGCACCTGCCTGGCAAGTGCAAGGTCGTGAGTTCGGTTCCCGGTACCGGAGAAAAACCAAAAAAAAAAAAAGAAAAATTAAAAAGAAACAAAAACGATACAGAACTTGAAAACAAGATAATAGGAAATAAATAACAGTTGTGATACTGCATATTGTTATCTTTAAAGTATTTCAGATTACCAGATACAGGCACGCAAAACTGATCAAACAATTAGGCATTAACTGTTCCTTTCAATAAACTAATAGAAATCAGTAGTACAATTATCTTAGCATTTCATAGCACTACTATTCTTAATAGCTCAATTTGGAAATTACCTATAGGTCCATCAACAGATAACTGGATAAAGAAAGTCTGGTAGATATACACAATGGAGTACTATTCAGCCATTAAATAGATAAATTTGAGTCATTTTTAAGGAAATGAATGAGTCTTTAGACTCCAATTTTAAATAAGACAAAGAAGGTTAAATATCACAGTTTCTCTTATAAAGAAAGTCCAAAGTATAAATAATTTAAAGAGCACAAAATAAAAGATAGATGCCAGGAATCAGGAAGGTAGACTCTGTAGAGATGGGAAGGGTCTATGGGATGGGGGAGAGGAAAGGACAGGGAGGGTGTGTGTCTCAATTCCCCAAAATGTAATTATTATGTATCACACACACACATAAAAATATTTATGAAATTTTTTTATCTTTGCTTGCATCTTAGTTCTGTTACTTAGTAGCTGTAAAAATTAATAGTTAATAAAATACGAGCCAATAAATGTCACTTCTTCCATTCTTTGAACTGCATGCCTTCTATCACTCTTTTCTGTCCCTGTAATTTCTGGTTTTCTCTATTTCTAACTTTATATAATATTTAGGGAATTTTCATGATCTTTTTCTCTTTCATCAAGCCTGAAATGTCTGACATCCTGGAAATCAGGATAAAATGTACCTTCTGATCTGTTGACACATGAGGAAGGTGTTGTTATCCAGCTATAATCAAGAGGAAATGATGCACTGCTGTTTTGCCATCAGTACCCTAAGTATTATTTGTAGCAACTCCATTCTAGAATTTTCATGGTTAGTATATATAAAATTTATTCTGGAAAGCTTCCCCTCTGTGCTCCACTATGAACATTTTCTCTATCACACTGTACCTTTGGCCATAAGATACAATTGTATGGGAACTATGACTGAAGCTTACACTTGTATGATTATTACTGGAATCCCAAAGGTGATATCTGCTTGACTTTTATGGCCTAGCTGTGCTAAATGCAACCTCTATTATTTCCCCATTTTTTAATTTACCTAGATTATTTCTAATATATATTGGGTCTTATGTCTGATTTTTGCCATGTTCACTTAAGGAACTAGCTCATTGGTCAAAATGTCCAATCAGAGGGCTTTTATTTATTCATTTTTAAGCAAAAACAATGATTTCTCACTGTCAATAGACCAACTACCAATGGTCAACTTGACTTTCAAGATTGACTTTTAAGGAAACCAAACAACTTGATTATCTAGTACTTATGCTACAATTTTCTGGTATTTTTACACAATTAATGAAGAGTCTACTATGAATAAAACTACTTTCAACAAGTAGGTAATAAAAATATTTTCAGCGGTTTTCTTCTCCCCCATAAGAGATGCTTAGAGTAGGTCTGAAGCCTTGTCCTTCTGTCCTTATTACTCATTATCTTTACCTGTGCACAAACCAGTTCATCTCCCTGGCTTTTACTGCTTCATGTACAAAGTAAGGATAATTACATCCTATCTTCTGCAAGGCAAGAAAGGAAACTGAGTGAATTCTTGAGATTCCTTCTAACTCTGTTAAGATCTTTGTTTACAGTATGTTTACAATCTTCTGGCAGTAGACCCAGGGTGCTTCTTCTGAAAGTACCACTGAGTTTGATTTTGAACTTTCTCTAAAAGCTATTCAACTGCATTCTGCTTTTTAAAGAAGGTTATACTGTTTTTCAAATGGCTAGGAAAATCTATTGTGTGCTGACATAAACTTACAAGAGGGTGTTAGAAACAAAACAGAAGTGTAGTTGGAGAAGGTAACTCAGGTTCTAGTTTCTTTTGATACATGAGTTGGTAAACATGAAGTCTTACCCATCTGTTCTCAAAATTCTCCAGCTCTAAAGTTCTATGGCTCTACATACATGAGTTTTTGAAATTCTTTTGTACTGGGACTTACTAGTTAAATCAATCCTTTATACCATGCTCAAAGTTAGTTTATTAGCTTTCATAAACTGTACCATAGTAAAGACCCAGTAAGATTTTTAATTAGGAGCAAAATCAAAGAATGTATAAAGTTACAGCATTACATCATTAGAAAGAAGCTTGTTGTTTATAGCTATGACAAGAGAACTTTGTTTCTACTAATTTCTGAAATCCTTTTTACATCAAACTTTCTGAGTATGACATATAAGGATTATACTTTCAGTTAATCAAAACCTTCCAGCATAGCTTTCTGGTAAAGGAGAATAAATCTCTGGCTTTTCTGCATGCCTTCAGTGTTTTATGCCATCTAAATGAATATTTAAAGGGTAGTATTCATCTTTGGGATTTCACTGTACATTATTCATTTAAAATGAAATAAATTTGTGTATATTTTTGTCTATTCTTCTGTTCCACAGCCAGTTACATAAAACTCTCATTAAAGTCACAGTACTCACCCTTTTATGCTCACTGGCTAGGAAAATCTATTTGTAGTGATACTGGATTTGTATGATTAGAAAATAGTTAATTAAAATTAATTATGTGCTAGTATTACCTTGTATTTTGTTGCTAAGGGCTTTTGGTCCACATCAAATTCTGTAGCTTGACAGATAAAGGCTTGCTGCCTTCTCAACTTCAATTCTGTCATCTCCTGTACACCCTCCTCCCCCACCATAATCTAAGTTGCTTCCTACATACATGCTTCAGATTTCTTTATATTTTCCAAACATGAATTGTACACAGCTATATTTATACTGTCATCCTTGTCACTTTTGTTTCTAATCCCCAACTCCATTTTTTAAAACTGTTTTCTTGCATTCTGTCTGTACCAAAGGGAAAACACATTAACCCTAAAACTTTGAAGTACCTTAGTTAACCAAAGACTTTATGAATACAAGACTAGGTGAGTTTTTACCATCTCATAAGTAAGAGGTATTGAGATACAATTTTAGCTCCAAAATAACTTTACCAACATTTAGCTCTGGTTAACAAACAACAGATATTGGCAGGCTGAGGAGAGCTACAGAACTGCCTCCACCACTGGTGGGGCATAAAACTATAAATGTGCTTCCTAGAATAAGACAATGGATGGCCTTCCAGAGAGACAAACTGCATTATTCTTACCTGAATTATTATTTTGTACTAAGCATTAAGTATATAAAGCTTTTCTAATCTCAGTACACCAGAACTGCAAGAAGAAAATGGATTTCAAATGTGGTTTCCTCTGCTGCCACCCAGTGGTCTATACTGGTGCATGCAATAATTTGCAGCAGTGATCCCAATCCAGGTGTTAACATCTGTAATCCAAAGATCTGAAATCGCAAATACTCCAAAAATCCAAAACTTTTCCAGTGACAACATGATAGATCAGGGACACTCAAGCAATAGATCTATGCAAACATCCCAAAATCTAAAACAATACATCCAAAACACTTCTGGCATCAAGCATTTTGAGTAAGGTGTATCACCTGGGAGAGGTAAAAATAATTGTGGTGCTGAATATATGCCAACTACTTTAAGCAAAGTATTCTATTTATCAGTTAGAAAATAATCTGCTGAACTGACCTTAAATAATGTATTGAATGTGATTTTTGTAAATTCCTGTTCAAATAAAATGCTGTCTTATTTATATATTTTACCAGGTAAGTGGTCAAGCATGAGTCATCATTGGAACCCAAGCCTACTTCCAATGAAGTATGGCCTCCCATTTTACTAATGAGGTAATTGAGACACAGAGATGTCAAGCAATGTACCAAAGGTCACATACGTGTAAGTAATGATGCCAGAGTCCAGTCCCAGCAGTCTGACTTCTGCACCTGTGCTCCACAGCACTATGCTAGAGTATGGTGATGGAGATAGCTTATTGACTTCCGGGGCCCTGTAGGTGCTGGGAGGATTCTCCTCATACTCATACCAAAGGATAAATGGAACATCCTGAGCTCTGATAAAAAGGTGTCATACTGCACATTAGTCCCTCTCTCTCTACCTCACCTGCATACATAGGGCTCACTTTAAAGGCACTGATCTTACCAAGTCCACTCTCACTGGAGCGTACTACACTAACTGTGGAGCAGGGCACAATAGCCAGTAGGACTGATTCTATTAGCCTCTGGCTCACCACCAGTCTATGCTCTTTTCCTAATGCAGGGCCTGGGCAGGACAACATTGACATCTGCTGATCTGTTTTCAGTAGGTCAAAACGAGGATCAGGAAAAGTATCTCCTTACTTTATGGTCTTACACAAGTCAGGCTCTCTGGGACTTTTCTGGAACTTTCCTTTGTATGAGATAGGAGAGGTGATTAAATTGTGGATGAGTGATTAGAAAATTGAGTCACAAACCTCTTTGTGGAGCCATTCTGGTAAAAGCTATTTTCAGAAAATAATCCAGTAAAAATGTGTGCACACAGACATAAGCCCACATAACTCAAGAGTTTTCAATACTGTGATAGGCTAAATTATGGCCCCTTATTATGGTTTGTGTCTGAGTGTCCCCCCAAAGCCTCATGTGGTCATGGGGCAGGCTTTTAGAGTTTGACTGATTATGGGTGTGAAAGCTACACCGCCCTGGGGTGGATAGTTTGCATATGTAAGGGAGAGGAAGAGGATGCTTGCAGGCCATTCCTCCCTTTTAGTGTTTGTTGATTCTGATGTGTTCTGCTGCCATGAGTTGTAGCCCTCTGCCATGTGCCACTCTGCCTTGTAACCTGCCAAGTATGGACTGAAACCTCTACCAACTATAAGCAAAATAAACCTTTCCTTCCTTATTTTTGGGTGTCAAGTACTTTGTCCCAGTAACGAGAGAAAAGTAACCAAGACACCCCTCGAAGATGTCTACATCCTACTTGCTGGAACTTGCAAAAGTAACTGTATATGGAAAAAAAAAAAGACTACAGATGCAATCAAGGTAAGACTTTTGAGAGATTATCCCAATGCAATGACAAAGTGGGCTCAATGTAATCTCAAGGGTCTTTACAAGAGTTTTTTAGGAAGACTCAGTCAAGAGAGAAGTCAAAGTGACAACAGAAGAGTGTCACAGTGACATAGTCTGAGAAAGATTCCTTTAGCTACTGCTGGCTTTGAAAGTAGAGTAGGTCAAGTTAAGAAATGTGAACAGCCCCTAGAAATTTACAGGCAAAGAAATGGACTCTTCTGCTGAAACCTTGATGTTTGCTCTGGAGACCTGAGGCAGAACAGGAAGTACTACATGCTTACAGTAGTGACAAGAAACTGCTACCCTCCCAGTTCCTTTCAAGAGCTTACAATCCACAAGCCTACAGATAAATGACATGCTCTAAAGTAAGACCTCTTCAAAGTCACTGCTAACCCTTGAAGAACTGAAACATCTTAAGATTAAGTATGTGTTGATATCTTGCCATAGGCAAAACTTTTACTCTTGGAAAATAGATATCTATATACTATAAACAAATGAAATACAGTGTGCTCTGATATTATAATTTCTGTATGTTCTAACATATCGACAGAATAGCGGAATATAAACTTTACTTGGATTTATAGGTGTTAATTCTTAAGTTACAAATAAAGTACTTAATGTTTCTCTTCAGCAGTTACCAGTTAATGGCATCAGGAGAACTGACGTATAAATTATTTTATAATGTAGATGTTTGCCAGTAGTCGAAATATAGGAAAGCAAAAGCAAAGGCAAAGAAAAAAAGTAAGTTAAAAACAGGAATCCAGATATCTATAGGATGCTTTATAGGTTAGATAAATTTTACAAATCAATAGTTGGCCCATTATGGATAAGTCTATTCTTGTCACTCTTTCACATCACCATAACTTTGAGAAAGCCACCTACAAAATATATACTTTCTGTCCAGTAATAATTTAATAAATCCTATGAGAAAAGCTTTTATTTTGTGAGGATGTTAGAGCCAAAAAAAATCCAAGTTATGACAGGCAGAGCTAAAATAATAGCAGCGTTTTGAGCTCTTGTTTGAAATGGGCTGGGAACCACTGGAGTAGGGCACCAGAGCAGGTGTTACCGCATGCCTTTCCTGAACATCTCTGGCTCTCTTCTCCTATGACCAGCTGGGGTGTTCTCATTGCAGGTGTCAGCCCCACCTATAATTCAGTGCCACACTGTGGGCTGTGAGGGTGGTGTCCAGTGGGCTCCACTTCTCTGACCCAGCAGTCCAAAGAGGGATTTTAACTGGTCTTTCAGATCTGGTCCTGTGCTTGCTTCAGCAGCACATATACTAAAATCAGATCTGATCCATTCTTCCTGGCCTCTGATCAATGTCCTGATGTTGTCCTTTCTGTATATCAAGGACACTCACTGGTACCTTCACTGTTCTCCCACCCTTGGACCTGGAAAGAAGACAGGGTACAGCAATAACATTGAAAGTGATCCTACTTTATGGCCTAAAGAAGCCAAGACAGGAGATGGGGAACAGAAGTACTGACTAGAACACAAATGACCATTCACATTTCCTGTACACTTTGGGTTACACTTGGATGTCAGACTTCTCATCCAACTCTGTCCAGGGTGAACAGATCCTCCAAACTAGGTGCCCGCAGATGTATAAGAAAAGTAAGAAAAAAATCAAACCAAGAGAGTCAAAATCCTGTGATCAGGTGCTAGCAGCCTCTAGGACTGACTGCCTCCTAATTACCATCTTCAGTCACCTTTTATTCAGAACCCACCAAGGAGGCAGCAAAGGAATTGGAGAATATCAACTGTTTTAGCAAGGACAATACAACTCAATTATCATAGGAATGCGACCTGACCAGTAAGCCATCATGTTATCTTCCTTCACCCATATCTCAGCAAAGCATCTAGTATTGATCTGGGGGCTTACAATGCTTATGCTAGACTTCCTCCAGAACTCAACGATCATGGCTTGGTCAGGCCTCAGGCAATACACAAAACAGTAACTAAAGAATGTCCTTTTCCACACTTGGATCTGTGGAAACAAGCACATTTATTTGAGAAAGTCATTGGAAGCCAGTATTTGGGACAAGTGTCATGGGTCACGGTCCTTAGAGTAATGATAAGATCGGGAGTACACAAATGATATTAGGATAATGCAGGGGTAACAACTTTACTGCTAAATAACAAACGAGCCATGGAATTGTACTCCGCAACAGCATTACTATTTTTATCTTAAAACCAGATGAAAGATATAAGATTGGGATCAGTACCTCTGACAATAAAGAACATGAAGCTGTTCAACCTTAGGCAGGAAGAATGCTACATGAACACTCTGGAGAACCCTTGCACAATGATTAAACAATAAACAAATGTATATGTACCTCTCATTATTATCTATTCTAAATCACCACCAGAAAGTCCACTATACCTTACTATTCATTTTTAAAAATACATTTTAATACAATTAACTAAAATTGTTTAAATAGACAGGGACACTGTTACAGAATCAGGCCTGTTTTGCTCTGCTGCATGGTATACCAATCACTGAAGGGATGAATTTTGTAAAGGAGAGTTTATGTAGCACATGTAGAAGAGGTAAGAGACTCAAGTCTCAAATTTGTCAAGTCTCAAGGATAGAGCTCAGGGAAATTTATGGAATGAAGAAGCAGAGTCACTTTTTAAGGTGTAGGGAAAATGACCGGAGGGGGAGTAATTGGTGGCCTGTGCATAGTGGCTCTTCACTGAATGCATGTTTAAAAAAGGGTGGCATTGGTAGGATCCAGCGGTGGTGCTTTTAGCCTCCTGATGTCAAAAGTCACCCACCACTGGACACTTGTGCAAGCAAATGTCTAGGGCTAAGCAAAGAGTCTGTGGTTTCAACAAAAGTGGGCCTCAATTCCCTCAAAAGTAGCCCAGGCAACCATTATCATTAAGACCCACACACCAGAGTTGTTATGTACAGAGAGCTGGTATATGACTAATAATAGGTCAGCTAAGTGATCTCCAAAATGAGTGTATAAAGTCAATCTCTGCTAGCCAGATCTTGCATACCTTAGGAGAAACTCTGACTCAATCCTTCACTTTTTTCAACAGGAAGCCAAATAACTGAAGATTTAAAATTTGATTTTCCATTTTAACTCTCAAGCTCATTTTCTTCCTATACATTTTATTTAACACGTTATTTATTTTATTTATTTATTTTTATTATTATATTTTTTATTATTATATTTATTTTATTTTGTTTTTTTAAAATTTTTATTTATTTTATTTATTTTATTAACACTATGTTTTTCTGTACCTCTTTGATCCTGTGTTTTCATTCCCACCCAGTCCTTTTGAAATCCAGACCAAAGATGTGTGTGGCATGTGTTTATGTGAAAGACAAGAGACACAGAAAGAGAGAGACAGAGACAGAGAGGAGGAAGGAGTGAAACATCAAACAGATGAAAATGATATAAATAGTCATTTCCAGTGGAAGAAAAAGCACATATACAAATTTGTCTACTCACCTCACACTTTGTTCCTATATGGAATTGCAGTTCACTTTAAACTGTTCTTGCTTTGTTGTTGCATATTATTTAGGTGCCCATCTGTTAGAGGAGTTAAGAACATTAGCATGAAGCTGTGAAGTAACAACTCTGTCCGTAGAAATACTCCTTTAGCTAAGACATCTTGGGTCAGAGAAATCTGGTTCCCCATAAAAGGCTTCAATATAAGCAAGACTTTGAGGAATTACGGGTTTTTACATCTGGAAAACAATTCAGAAATTGTTCATCATAGTCTTCATTTTATAAATGGAGAAGCTGAGATTAACCCAAAGAGGTCATGTCTTACCCAAATTCATAATGTAAATTAATTGTAAAGAAGACTTAGAACCTGTTTTTATGACCAAGATCTAAAAACACTGTCATCCAGTGTTTTTATAACCATACCGTGTTACCACTCCATTGGGTCCATTCATAAATATTTTCTGAGTGCCTATTGTTTTAGGTATCACTGTACTTGGTAAAGTACAGCACTGAACAAGGATCCCTGACTTTGAAGAAAGACTAGGAAGTCACAGAGTGACTCCTGTGGTTACAGGAGGAACAGCATTCCAGAGGGAACACACCTCCAAATCTCCAGATTCTCTTTCCTGATAACCAAATCACTTAAGTTACGTCTCGAATTTTGTTTGATTCTCTGTACAACCTGGAGAGTTTTCACTTTTTTTTCTGAAAGTTTAAAAGAATGCAAATCAACCCTGAACATTTAAAGCGATCAGGAAGCATGAGTGTTTGTTATAACATCTTTTTCAGCTATACCAAAACAATACTATCCAATTTTTAAAAAATCAAGATGGTTCAAGTGACATAATCATTTTAACAAAAGTTCAGAACTTTTAGCATCACCGTAGTTTCTCACTTAAAAAGCATTCCCTCTATTATACACGTTTTAACACAAACCAGCTTTAACACAAAGCAAAGGAAAATACAAAACTGTGGGGCGATCCTAATATGTTGTAGTATTTGCTTACATCTTTCCACTTTTAAGATTTGATATAATACACGAACACAGGCTCCTTTATTATAAAGACGGTTGTTTAACACTCTTCTCATAAAAGTTACTGCTCCGATGCAATGAACTTGGATATGACAGATTTATTCCCAAAGGTGGTATTACCAAATCAAATATTTTAAACATTTTTCAGGGTTCTACAACTTTAACACTACTTGTCAAAGCTCCTACTGAAGTCTACATTTTCAACAATTCACAAAAACACATCATCACTGAAATCTCGAAGGCTGTGCCCAGCTGCGCTATTCCACAAATTCAAAAGGGACGTCCAGAGACCTGAGGCTACAGGTGAGACCTCCAGAGCCTCGCGGATGTCTCCCCCGGCGCATCCGGACTTTGCGGATCCGGCCGAGTGCTGGCCGCCTCCGCACCTGCAACGGTACTCACCCTCGCTCCACTCGCGTGGGACGCCAAGAGCGGACTTCCAGGGAGCGCAGAAGGCTCCTAAACCCCCTCAAAAAGAGACACTAGCTTGGACTCACAGAGCACCGGGAGGTCACAAACCAGAAACTGGGAACCGCAAGAATTCGCCAGCACCCCCGACACGCGGCCACCGGCAACATCTTCCCACCCCAAGCGAGATCCCAGCGTTCAGCTCTAACAAGTGCAGCGCGGGCGCTCGTGAGGGGGTTTTCAGCTTCCGGCCTCGCAAAGCCCCACAACCAGCCTTAGGCGTCCTCAGCGAACGCCAGGCCGGGCCTCACCGTCCAGCCAATCCCGAGCAGTCGTGGGACAGGCGGCCCATCAGTGCCTGCTGGCCAGGCTGAAGGAGTCGAACGCAGAACCAGCGAGCAGGCCAAGGGCGGCTTGGGGCTGTGGCTCAGCAGGCCGGGCTTGGCTGAAGGCCTGGGGACTCGGCTACAGGGCACTGCCCGAGCAGCGGCGTGATCCATGGGCAGTAGCGCGGGACGCGATGACGGACTGCGGCGAGGAGCAGCGAAACGAGCTGGAGGCTCTGGAGTCCATCTACCCCGACTCCTTCACAGGTGACGTTGGCGGCCTCCGAGGCCCGGGCGGACGGGC